TTTCGGCATTTGCAATTAACAGCATCAGACTCTAAAATTTCGCTACCATTATTTGTTTGGTCTGACGACCGAAACAAATAAAAATAAGTCGGTCTTTCAACCGAGCGATTGATACTAGTCCTTTTGTAGAAATTGAGATATGTTGCGGGAAAGCACCATTCGTCCTTCAGCTGTTTATTTATAAGCATTTATAAAAACATTAGCAGATCGCATTTTTTGAGCATCAAAATTTTGCCTTTTTGCAGACAAAACATGGAGCATAAAACTGTTTCCTAAATATGTCAACTGGTAAATAACATGCACAACAAAATGAGCACCGACCTTTCTTCAGCCATTCATTAGAAAAAAACCTTAATTTGCTTGTTTACATCAAGGAATTAAGCATTATTATAGTGTTCTAATTTTTTAATATGTAAGAATCCACCATTCCAGTGGGCGGATCTTAATTCTCCATATTTTTAAACTGTCATATTCATTACTTAATAATTTCACTTAATGATTTTACTCTAAAGATTTGTGCACAGTGTCAAAATATACAGATAAAAGGAGCAAACATTTGAAAATCTCTCGATGAGGATTGGATGAAAAATGAAGGAATGGGCTGAGTGAACTATTAAATATCTGAAAAAGTATAAAATGTGCCGTTTTCAATAACTTTTTCATCACTGATGGACGACTTTCAAGTGAAAAATCAAATGTTCTTTTTTTAGTAGTCATTCTTTAATCTAGATTATGTCATTTGCTTTTTGGAACTTGGTCCTTCGTAGCGTATTCTTTAATTTTTTTCGCCGGCGTGGTGCATCGCAGATAGATTCATTCTTTGCTTTTATGTTTTTTTTCATTGTATCGTTTGAATCGTGTTACATTGCTTTGGCGATATACATGAATATTAATCGACATAATTCAACAATATTAACACTAGTTTGTTGTGTTGGTTCCGTCGTATTTAAGAGGATGTTGCTTTCATCAGTTTAAACATATTATATGCAGTGCAGTAATGTGTCGTTAAGGTAGCAAAAGTAGACAAAATAGTATACATGCATTTACTTCCTTACAAAATACTAATGAACTTAAATTATAGCAACGGCCAACCGAGCATCGGACTTAATAGAAGATATTTCATGAATATGAGTCACAAGTATTTGTTTCAAACGGTAAGAAGATACCAATAAAATTAAAAAAGTTTTTGAGAAATAAAATTGATATCTGAGGTATCATGTGCAAATATTTAAAAGTGATTTGAACATACTTCTGTCTGATCTTTTCGTAAACTGTCCCCTATAATTGCTTATTTTATTCACAGTGCGTTTGAACACGTAAATAAAGTTATCTGTTGTCCCATTTGCATTTGCAATGTTATTACGTGTAAAAGCGTTTTAATTACATGGCTTTATTGCACTCCTGCACCGGCTCTCCTGCGCAAAGAGTTATCTGATAAGATATTGTAATATTGTTAGTCTGATGAAGGTTGTGGCAGATACGTTAATGCATGTGATAGATCAATATTTAGAAAACTAGAGTGTTGGATTCCTTGTTATCCGTTTTTTTGTGTTTTTTTTAACTAAAATTTGCAAATTACAATTGGTATTCATTCTGCCAAATATGTAATAGAAAGAGCATCGAGACACGAGGCTATCTGATTTGTACGAGGGGGCGTACGAGGAGGCGTAACCCCCGAGTATAAATCAGATTGGCGAGTGTTTTGATGTTCTTTCTCTTTTATTTCATAGTTCTCTGCCGTCACAATAAGTAACCCCCTGCAAAAATGAGCCAATCAATGGGCATGCTCTGGAGTGCGGGTAACTAATATGTGCATGTAGATGTATACGATTGAACTCTGACACATTTTCAACAGAAAGGTCCTCAAACTATGATACAAGGATTATTTATTCATATATTATTTCAGCAGTTGATATCAAAATGGTACACTTTTGATTCACCAAAGCACAGTTTAGCCACGGTAAACTACAAACTGTAACAAATGACTTCACTTATCAAGGATCTGCTGGTTACTTCTGTACATGCTAGAGCAGAGGTACAGTGCTGATGACCGTATAAAATATTTCATTATCAATCTCGACATAAGTGACCTGCTACGTTCGGGAATCGAACTCGAATCGCCCGGATCCATAGTCAGACACACCACCAATTGTACTCATTGGGCGGTGCACGATATAAATATTATAATTATTGTTAATAAATTCTTTCTTTTTGTACTTTTCATACTGCTATATTTTTATATTAAACACTAGCATTTGACTTTAAACAGAATATATTATTAAAATGTAATTAAATAATAACTTACATTTTGTTTATGCATTTCTATATAACTGATTTGTTATGCATCTAATATTACATTATCCAAACGTTACTACGTCCCTCTATAGACAAAATGTGAAATGCACATTCGTGAAAACTCCGCCTTTCGGGGCGGGCTTCATGGGCAGTAAAGTCTATAGAAAATATGATATATTATATCAAGATTGTCTTACGATTTTTTTATCGAGACGCATAAAATTGCATTTTATATCAAACACGCACAAAGCTGCACAATTTATTTGACAGGACAAGGAAACTACGAAGGAAGATTTACTGAACAAACAAAAATGTTCCTAGTTATATGAAAGCAAACGAAGGACAAGTTGCTTATATAACCATCTATAGACCATCCTCGTGGGTTTGAAGATGTTACATAGGAAGAAATTAATAATTACTGGTTAGGTACCATTGGAAGTCCTTAAAATGGACCAACTATCGAAATATGATCAATCTGTGTTAAAACCGGCACGTTTTTGTCATGTTACATTCTTTAAATAACGATATTATTATTATTATTATTATTATTATTATTATTATTATTATTATTATTATTATTATTATTATATGGGTGACATTATGGGGTTATGCAAGAAAGCAGACGACACACAGGATAAAAATCATTAGTAAAAATTACTGACATTATATTAATAAAAGGCATATACTTCTGTAAAGGTTAAAGACATGTATATTACAAGCAACAAATAAATTACCGTAAATGGAGATTAATGCTGAAAAAAGAAAACTATTCACTATTTTTTCATTGTAAAGGCGAATATCTCGTGTATTTTTCACAAACATACTCAACCACCATAATCACAACACCTACGTTTGTTTTTACAAAAAGAAATTCAAGCCACAATAAATGATGCTAAATTAATTTTGTTTCAATATAAGATAATTTATGTTCGTTTAATTCAAAATAAAGGAAAAAGCAGTTTAATTGTTTAGATATTATTGTATCGTTATGATAAGAAATGTCATTATTCTCTGATCATTATCAGCAAAACATCTAGATGTTTATCCGTCTGCAACTTTAATGCGACTGTAATGCGTCTGCTTATAAAAAAAGCACGAGTGAAATCCCCATATACAAAATTGTAATTAAATAAAAAGTTAAATAAACTATTTTGAAATTTGTCTATTATTCAAATATTCGCCATTCATTGACAGTATGCAAAACCAGGTGTTATTAGGACAATGACAAGGTTTATCAAAATGATGTTAAAAAGGTTTATTTGCTTGACGGTTGAATTGGTTGCTTTTCAACCGATAGACCATATGTTAAATTTTTGGCCATGGTTCATAATGCTATTTCCCCATTTACTTTAAATTTTTTCAAATATTTTTTGTCCTGCCTGAAGTCCTTACTTTGTTTGATTCCCGTATATTGCATATAATGTCTTCTTTAAACATTCATTTAAACGTCACGGCAAAATGGACTACAAAAAAGAAGGGAAAAGAAATCACTAGTAAGAAAGAAAAAGACAACACTTTTTAAAACAGTTATTCTTGGTCCTACGCCCATCCTGTTTAAGTCGTTTAATGTATTTCTTATTGGCGTCAGACAATTGAAACACTCAAAACACTTGATTGGGCACTATTTTAGGCCAGTCACGGATATCTATTACGCAAGACAAAAACTTAAATTCCGCTAAAGTGGACATTGTACAAATGTACATTGTTTTATCTTTGATTTTTACTCATCCACATGACTGCGTAGATAATGCTTGGAAGGAACTTTTTTGTCTTTGTAATATGTTTTGCTCCCAACAATAAGTTTCAAAGCATGAAAATTTTACTGTGTAGTTTCAGACAGTCCCATTTAAAATGATCATTGTGATCATCACTCACCTAGACCAAACTCAATTGAATCTTCATTTAAATCTTTATTTAACTGAAGTTTGTTTATTTATTGTTGATATGACATATAAGATAAAAAGCATGACAAAAGCAACACACCGTATGTCCAATGGTACAATACAATGCAATACAATACAAAAGGGGCAAACGATCTCTTAAGAGCAATGAAAAAAAAATAATTGAAAATTACACAAACTCTGATTTATTGAGCCTGTTCTTCAAAGATAATTAAATTGAAATTGCAAAACCTCTCATGCCCCCTAGCACCGGTTTTAAAGGTATAACACCCTTAACACCAAACTTTTCGAATCAATGATCCCAAAGAGGACAAATACAATAACGCTTCAGATGGACTACATGACGACTTTAAATTGAATAAAAAAAAACGATTAAGCAGTTAAATAATTGTAAATAAATATTGATAATATTTAAATCAATTATATCACTGCTTTACAAAAGTGTGATTATGTTCATTTAAGCAGTCTCTCTTTGTTTTCGAGCCGAATAATTCTTAACGCATAAAAATAAATAATTAAACGGAAGAAACCCACAAAAGCTAAAACCCTCTTATAAAAAATATCTGGTTTTAATAACTTCTGGAATATTAAAAAGTATACAAACTCATGATACTAAAATAATGAATATAATAAACGGAAAACAAATGAATATCTATGATTGGCCTTCTCTTAAATATCAAACATATTGTTTCTTAAGGCTTTGTCAATAATAAGTAGCGTTTTTTAAGTGATAAATTTTGAAATGGTTTATTGTAAACTAGTATAAATAGACCGTTATTCGCTGTCATCTCTACTTTTCAATTCGGAGACTGTTGGGAACGAATATCTAATTTGTCGTCTGCTCTGCTGGAAAGGAAATGGCGTCCCTAAATATACAGGTGACGATTAATTTATTTGTTTAATATCTTTAAGATTGTCAATTTAATTTCTTGTAATATTTTAAAACATCTAAATTACTTAAAGATGGCATGTACATGGCTTTTTATGTGATATTGATAAAAATGTTTTGAAATTAACGCTTTTTATTATTCTGTTATATTTTTTGAAACTTTTTACAAAATACTGCTTTTACAAAATACTGATTATAATATATTGAAAAGTGATAAATATAAGTTGCAAGAACTTGTTTCGCAATCGAGCTTAAATAAATAATTATGTTTAAACCAATATACTGTCTACAAAATTCATTTACACATTTCTATTATAAAAACATTTTCATTTAAATCTAAATCTATTTAAAATTTACAATGTTGGGTCTCAAAATAAAATTTAAATTTCCAATTGAGATTGATTTTACGATTAAATTTATTTATCATCAGATATATTACAAAGAATATTATGTACATTCAAAGATGAATTAAATATTGCTATATATAGCGGTAGTATGCAATCTGTCATCAAATGACAACGCAAAATTAGAATACAAATGTTATCACAAAATTAGAATACAAATGTTATCTCAAAATTAGAATACAAATGTTATCTCAAAATAAGAATACAAATGTTATCTAAAAATTAGAATACAAATGTTATCTCAAAATAAGAATACAAATGTTATCTCAAAATTAGAATACAAATGTTATCTCAAAATAAGAATACAAATCATATTTCATAATGTAGAAAGTAACAGTAACAAGGTACGCGAGACTTAATAAAACGACATTTTCGTCGAGAAGAGCAGGTATACTTAGATAACTTTCCAATCATTCCAGAATAAAATTAGAGTATGAAATAGAAACATTGCTTTACTGTATAAAACAATGGAGTTTATATAGGAATGACGTCATTTTCTATTTAATTAATTAATTAATTAATTAATTTATTTATTTATTTATTTATTTATTTATTTATTTATTTTTATATTGTAAACATCCCGTCGACTTGAATGTAAAATATTATTTTATTCTAAGATATCGCTAGAATATTACAAAAACAATAATAAAGCGCACCAAATATTGGCTTTAGTACTTCATATACATTTAAAAGAAATATATTTTGAAGTTTTACTTCCTACTTCAGTCCTGAAAATGGGATATCTTTTATCCTAAATTCTCTTACTGGGACTCCAAAACAAAATTTATAAGAGTTTTTAGCTTGACTATTCGAAGAATAGGAAGAGCTAATGCAGTCATCACCGGCGTTGGCGTCTCACTTCGGTGCAAGTTGGTACGTATCTCTAAAACTACTGAAGGAAAATGGTCTGAACTTCATCTGCTCGTTTGTCTGAGATTATTTAACGTGAATAGCACAGATCCCAAAACTCTGAATACCTTTTTACCGAGTTTTGCCCCTTTCCTTACTGTCAAGCGATACGCTACTTACGGAAAACTCTTTTGAGTTGTTGATTTGTGTTCTCTTATTTGCCAGTATGAAATAAGTTTCCTAAAATAAGTACCATTAAATAGCAAACCCTTTACGGACGACCAGACTTTTTTATGCATGTAATCATTTATTTAAAAACGCATCTTGATTGACTTCAAAATAATGTGGACAGCTTGTTTTTACATCGGCGTGAATCAGGCGTTTTGCTTCAGTGCATAAAATGCATAATTTTCATGCATATTTAAATATATTATTTATTTTAGGCAACTAATATATGTATGCATAAATTTCTCGTGCTGCAAAAAACTGCAGACGGCGCCAGAATTGAAAAAAAAATTACATTGCTTTATTAAATACTAATTTCACATGATACATGAATTAAAGTATATAAATTATCGTGCCCGCCTTATTTATTTAATTGTCGTCTGTTACTAGCAGACGACTGTTATTGTTCTGTTAACATTCCAATATACAATTGTACTGTACTGAACTATATCACATTGCGTCAACCAATATTGTTAACCAGTATAAAACCTTCTGTAAAAGACATCTGTATAATATCAGTATGGTATTAAGCAATAAGTTCTGAGCCGTGTTTCATATTTATATAATATTGACAACAAACGTTGAAAAATATTAGCCAATGATGATAATATATTTGAAATAATATTGAAATAATGGTTGAAAAAGGAATTATTGAAGGACTCTTTAGTTATATAAAGTTTAAATCTGAAACATTGTTTTAAACAGTATTTATTAAATAAAATTCAATCATATTCAATAATTTACAATAACATAATCTGATACAAGATTGAACAAGAAGTCAAAAAGTCACAGACTTATGCAAATTTCTTTCCAGCAAACAGTAAAAGTATAGCATAACGTACAGTATTACACGTATTAGTACACTTGTGACTAACATGACATAATTACACTTTTAAAAAGTGAAATGAGTACAAATAGTACAACACACGAAATATAATGAATATAACAAATGATGTGCGATCATATATTAAAATATCATCTATAAGTAGGACTTGGCACGAAGAAAATCTGAAAAATTAAAATGCTAAACAAAAATTTTTTTTCCGTTTATTTCTGTAAAATGATATTTTATTTTTACATTGTCGTTGTTCATATAGAATAAGATTTTTAAAAGACGGACGCAATTTTTTTGAAAGCATCGTATTTTGTTAAAATATTATTCTGTGATTTATAAAATATCAACAACAACAAAAATCTTAGAAAATGTATTTCTTTAATATTTTAAGTAAACGACAATATTGTTCAAAGACGAACGCAACATTTATGTAATTGTTGGAAATTTTGAAATATTATTATTTCATTAAAGTAAATTAAAAAAAAAACATATCTTAGTAAAAATAATCGTGAGTAGTTTATGTCTGGATGTAATCATTCTTTGTTGCAATATTATACTTTCATTAATGAAATAACAAGAAATCGTAGAGAAAAATTAAATAAACAAATGATATTAGACGATTTTTTTAGTTTGTAAAAAAACAAACAGTTTTTTTCTTTTAAGGTGCCCTCACACATAACCCACGACCTTACTGCGACCTGAAAACTAGTAAAATAGCATTTTTCTTTCGAAAATCGTTGGTTTTCTTTCAAATTTCTCTCGCAGACAGTCCGGGGCTCTGCAGTCTTGTGTTCAGTACGTTTTCTCTATGTCCTCAATACGACCCTTCTACGTCCATGGCGTTTCCACTGCGACTGTATTGCGTCCCCAAGGCGACCCCACGGCGATCATCGGCGACCCAGCTGCGACTGTGCTATGTTCTCTGCGTCCTTACGGCGACTCTACGACGACTATTGCGTTTGTCCGGCGACTGTCCTGCGACTGTACGACGACCCTACTACGTTCTTGCTACGTCTATAAAAACAATACCTTTTACCAGTAAATTTCATTCTGAGTCTGACCTTCAACGAGTGAAGACGTATATTTAATTAGTATTAAGTTAAATCATCCATATTATTCCAAAGATGAGAGGCGGACGAGGCAAAAGAGCGAGGGTCTCTAAAGTGCTACAAGTTGACCAAGTCGCCGCTTCAGATATGCAGTTTGGTAGTGGTTCACAGTGTGTAGAAATAGCGTCGCCAAAGGTTTCCGAGCAATTTCTTGTAATTTCATCGGTGACTCTACGGCGTCCTTAGTACGAGTGAACTACGTCTATTGCGTTCTTATTGCGTCCTTACTACGATGCTGCTGCGACTATGGCGACTCCACTGCGATCCCACGGCGACCTAACCAGGACTCAGCAAGAACGCAGAGTTTCTGCGACTGTTTTGTGCATGTTCAAAATAGTCGCCGACGGTCTGCGACCTTGTGCGTCCTTGGGTTCCTCGCTACGACCTCGCTGCGACCCTGCTGCGTCCATGGCGACTGTGCTGCGTCCTGGGTCGTAGCAAGGTCGCAGTAAGGACGCAGTAAGGTCGCGAGGTATGTGTGAGGGCAGTATAATGAAATTTAAAAAAAAATCAATAACTTTCGTTGAATTAAACTAATACTTCAGGTGGACATATGGTATTGTTGACAGAAGAGCGCAACATTACCTTTAGAATTTAGTTTGTTATAAACATACTTTTTCTTCAATGAAATTTCAAAAACAGATATGTAAGAAAACATGTTTCTTTAATACTCCAGGCCAATAAATCAAATTATTTAAAGGAAACGCAACATTAGCTTAAGCATTTCGTAGCTTGATACAATATCTTTATTTCTTTTATTAGATAACAAGAACAACAAAAAATCTTCGAAAAAATATTTCGTGAATATTTCAGGTCAACAAATGATTTTGTTCAAAGTCGAACGCAATATTTCTTTCGTAGTGTGGGATGTACAAAACTATTATTGCATCATCTTAGAAAATATAGTCCGATCAAAAGTCTGCCAGCATGTTTTAATTAAATCATTATCACATCTTTGCAAGAAAGAAAATGTTAAATAAGGAAGGTTTTATCTTTCCAACAAAAAGGAAAAAATAAGTATTACATTTAGCAATAAACAAAAAGTGACGATCATGTTCATTTAAACGTTTCAAAAAAACTTATTAAAGGGGTTGATTATAAAAATAATATTTTTTGCTGTTATTTTATTTTGAATGTTTTGTATGTGTTGTTTACAATAAGAAACGCGCCGTTGTCATGCTTTTTAAAAATAATAACATTATATCAGAGACATAGATTACATAGATTGAATAAATGATGCACATTTTTTAAAGAAACTACTTATTAATTTTTGTTACAAAATTATTCATATGACGAAAACACTAGCTCAGTAGGTATGTTCTGATGATTTTCTATGTGAAAGTCAAAGAAAGTTACTAATATTTTAACATGCAACAATAGATAAAAGATTTTACTTTCAAATGGTGTATTATATAAAGGGATCAAATGTACACCCAGTAAATTTTATTTACTACAAAATGCCTAATTTTTCACATTTTGATAGGCATGAGTGATATTTCAATGGAGTATATAGGAGCTGCTTATCTCTGTTATCTATGTCTCTGATTATATATAATGTTATATAGAAAGGCAATAATGCGAAAAACTTACTTTCTAAAAGTAACATACATTTCGTATTGAAACTTTATATATAGTATAATATTTCATTTTAGTTCTTTTACTTTTTTAATTAAATAATCCACTGAAGTTTTTTATTCAGACGGAAATAGATTTATATGTGATTTAACATCTCAGTTGAATCAGACACTGTCAAGTTGTTTTCTACCAAACGGACTATACTAATTTTATAAATGATACTGTATGTCAAAACCGAAGGGCATTAACTGAAATTATCCAAAACACAATTAAAATACAATAAATCAACTAGATAATAACCATTTTAATAAAAAAATATCATGGTATTTTATTATAATGACAATATACAAAAGGAAATACTCAAGAATAAGCCCTAAGAGTATTAAGGACAAAACCAAGAGAGACTTTTTTTCAAGAAATAAATTTATATTGTTGTTTTTGTACTTAGAATGAAGGACACAACACCCACATGATTTTCAGAGAAGATTGTCTTTTTTTAAAGCATTGAAATGAAACACAAATTTCTAAAGTGATTTCAAATAATCATTTTTTTTTATAAAAGCAGGCGTCGTTCTGTAGTTAAGATGCTTTGTTCTAATTTTAGAATTAAGATCATTATAAACTTAGTTTGTATCAAACTGCATGTCTGAACACTAGCATGCCAATTAGTCATTAAATATTCGAAAGGAGATTAATAAACACTAGTATAAAAACATCTATATAAACTCAATCTGGAAATTTCAAGACATCACAAAATTCAGCAAATGTAATAAAACGCATACTTTCGACGACCAGTTAACAGTAGTAGTATTACGAAAATCATGCAAAACCATTTACAAAATTTCTTATGAATTCTCAGCCTTTAAAAGCCCCAGACTTCGCAGCCATAATTAACTGCTGACAATACATAATTATCAAACAAATTAAACAAAATGTTTATAAGTACATTCATACCATGTGTTATATTTAAAAGTGAATTCATTGCCTCGATTCGTTTCCAAGCCAAAGTTTTCGTTGCATTGCTAAACGAACTCCCTCTAGAAAAAAACAACCCCTACATAATTGAATGAACTTACAATTTCTATTTCTTTTCCAGCAAATAGAGTGAAATAGGAATCCCTGCGGAAAGCCCAACACAGCAAAATTGAAAATGTTGCAGGCTCGATTTGATTGAGCCTGTTCATGGACGGTACAAATGTCTATTTGAGAGAGTCACTTATTCTACCACCCTTTCTAAAAATAACAATGTCTTACACATGATTTGACACTGCCATACATTGATTGTAAAATAACAAACAATTTGCCAGCAATGCCTGAGTTAATAAGCTTATAGCATAAACAGGTCGTATGCCTTTTTATAATCTAAAAACAACATATTTTAAAGGATTTATTTTTCATCTGCTTTTCAATAAGTGAATTCAGTGTAAAAAAAAGCATCAACTTGCTAAAATGAGACCTTAATCTAAATTGTGCATCCGTTAAAATATCATAATCAGTGGCCCATTTCTTTAACCTATCATTCAAAATAGCACAAAACAACTGATAAGGGTAATACCTCTGTTATTACTTTGGTCACTTGAGTCACATTTCTTATATAATGGTATTATAACCCTTTTTGACCAACTAGGTGGAAATTTACCCTGCTCTAAGAAATTATCAGATAATAACTGACTAGGACGTACTAATACATCAATACGAACTTTAAAATACTCATAAAGTATATTGTTTATAGAACAGGCATTTATCAGAAGACAATACTTTCTTACAGATAATGTACCTATACATATTACTCTATAGTTAATTGTATTGATCTATTTTGTATTTTCGGCCTGGGGCCTTTATTACTAGTAATAAACTAAAACTGAAATATCTGTTCCAAGAAAAAATCCAAATATGATGATATCTCCGACAATTTTATTCTCAAAAGCAATATTTTAGATACTTTGCATCCAGGTTTCATGATCGTAAGCTTATGAAAAGATTCAAAATAAACGATAATGAAAAGTATAATCTTTAAGAAGTATAAATTTCTGTTCGGTTGGAGACTTGCAGTTAACATTACAAATCTTATTATGGGCATCTAGAGAGCCCATAAACTGACATAATGCACAGTTATTTATTTATGTCTACAATGATCACAAAAGTATTTCTAATATTTATTAAAAATAAACAACAATAGAAATGCATCATTTGGATATTTTTATATAATATTACTTAAAAAAGAAATATTTATATGAAGTAACTTATATAGTATGAACATAAATATCCAGAAAAATATGTTGTTCAGGAAAATTTTATTATTTTCTATATAAGAACTTGTTATATCAGATAATGAATGTTACACTTGACAACAACATCTATGCTATAAATCTTCCATAGTGTGGTGTTATGTCTGAAATCAACGTTATTTTGTATTGTAATTGCAGACAAATTCACTTACAAATTATAACTGTCTCTGCTATATATTTAACAAGAATATTATATAGCATATTATATGAAAATAAAATTTATCTTTTCATTTGTATAGAATTAATAGTTATGAGGTTTAATTCAAATAAATTGAAAAATAAAGCACAAAAACATATTTATAAAACAGGTGAACCATCTAAAATAGTAATATATTGATATATTTCAAACAATATAAAAAAAATATTAAAACAGTTTCAAAATTACAATCAAATCCTTTTGCATAATTGTGCAAACAATTTGCAAAATTATATTGCATTTAAATCTGTGAAATACGTAAGCGTACTGGTGCCAATTCATAATGTTCTTTAAAAATATAGAACCTAATTAGAATGTCATAACTTCTACGAATGAAGTAGCTCAAAACTCCTACGTAGGACTTTTTAACTCCTAGGTAGGAAACCAAAAACATAATTACGTAGGAGTATTTAACTCCTTATTACGCTTTTTAACTCCTACGTAAGAGTTTTCATAATCCTATGTAGGACTTAGTAAGTCCTACAAAGAAGTTTTTAAACTCCTTATTTCCCACATAGGAGTTAAAATGTTCTACGTAGGCGTTTAAAACTCCTAATTAGGCTTTTTTTTATTTCCCACGTAGGAGTTAAAAAGTTCTAATTAGGATTTAAATTATTTGCAATTAAATAATGGCACTAGGGCGCTTCCGTAGTGAAAGCATACCTACAAAGATATGCATATATTATAGAGATATTTTCTTTATAAGTTTACGATAGACGCGTTGACAATAATAGACCTTTCAATTAAAGGAACTCAACTGAGGTTTAAAAGCCTAAAACTATTACACTGAACTCTAATTTCTTACATTGATACAGTAATAAAAACAGAAAAAATTATGATATTTCCCAAAATTAAAAATTACATTTTGTGTTATTCTAACCGAATTTTGGTAAACCCTTGAACGCTTTAAATTTTGGAAACTATTTTTAGCAATTTCAAAACAGACCATGTGTACGCCTCCATGATGGCCAACTTTAAATGTTCGGAAAAACATTTCTGTGACCAGTTAAAAAACCGTCAACAGGATTCTACTATCATTCCTGTAAGTTTAAAATATTGATGTATTTAATATACAGCTTTATGCTTTACTTGGCAAACTGTTAGCTTGTAAATGGCTAATTGACAAGTAAAGAAAACTCTGAATGTGACAATATAACCCATGCATTGACTTATAAATAGTAACTTGCATATGTATTCACAGTTAATATATAGTAATCATTCTACTCCTATATTTAGCTATTTGCAGTAGATGATATTTGACTGATGTTTTGATGTTTAAATTTTTATGTTCATATTTTTTCTTGTCTATTTTCATAATCGTAAATGAATCGGGTAATGCATTCCAATCGCTTATTGGTTATTAGCATTTGGAGCGCATTAAATCCTTTAAAACATACATTCTATTAATATATGATAGGCACTTGTGATTAACGTCAATGAAATGATGATTATTCATACAGCAGCATGCCTTCAGTTTCATCATAATTTTTATGAAAATTTTAATTTAAAATGTATTTAAAAGAAAACAAAGTGAAACATGCCAGCGACTCGCGTGATATAACTTATTCAACTCGCTGAATAATTTCAGTATTGAATCTACAAGCATTATCATGAAATAATGAATACAAAAGAAATTCAAATCAACAGATATATATTTACTTTTGATAACATAGATTGACAGGTTCATATGTTTTGTTTTCCAGTGGTCCAGAGTAGTCCTCCTCACAGTGCTATTGCTCAATTTCATCTCACCCTCTCTTTCTTTGGATACAGATAAGACACCTATCGACAACGAGCAAGTACAAGAGTTTTCAAGTATATTAAAACAACTGAATGAATATTTTGACCAGAGAATGTTACGACATGAGGAACCTGAAAATGTCAAAGAAACCAACGATACAAATGTGACGAAGGATAAACTTTTATCAGAGGAAGAGAGTATAAAAATTGAACGGAGATCAAATGCTCACACGCCATGGTATTGTCATTCAACCGTCGGATGGAAAGATCTTGGTAACCTGCATTATCCTCGATTTGTAAAAGAAATAAGGTGCACGGGAAATGCGTGCATGCATGGATTTTACAATTGTAGCCCAAATTATTATCCATTGAGAGTTCTATCGGCAAGAGAAGATTCCAGCAGGGTTAACCAAGATGTCGAAGCAAGTTTTTTACCACCTGGTTTGAGACAGAACTGGACATTGATGGAAATCGACATCTCTGTCGGTTGCATGTGTGGAAATTAATCAGAAATTATTTTAGACATTCTGACATTGAACATCCCCAGAGAGGACATCTACCCAACAGTATTAATAATATTTTAGTTTAATTGGTTTTTGTAGGGTTCAATTAATTTTTTATTTCTTTTATCAAAATGACAAAACAATCAAATCAAAGCAAACGTTTTAAGCTTCAAGAATGTAACGGAAACATCGAATAAGCTGTCAAAATGCTATTATTAGGACATAATGTCATTTCTCTTAACCAAAACGATGATACTTACGCAATATTTTATCACAAAACTGACAAAGTATAGTATTCTGCGGAAAGATGACTTTTCATATACAAAAAAATATTTCGCTTTAACAAAAAACGAGGACTACTATACCTATTAACAACGCGTTTGGTTGTACTGCAAATTCGGCCGGATGTATTTTAATGGCGCATGCACATTCTGCCTAAGGCAAAAATAACCATTGCTCAACGTATGTAGATGTTCCTAGATAATTCCAAAAAAGCTCACTGTACAAAGAATTAGATTTTGTAAAATATAAATATTTTTACAAGACAAGAACAAAAACAAACGAAAAAATGAAATGTTGAGATGGCGTCTTAGTAAAATATAGCGGCTTAGTCTGACGCTTGATATTTGACCTTTGTTCAGTATAGATATTTTATAAGAATTAGCATAACATCTAGCGTTTATAAGTAAATGTACTGTCTTCCTCCTTGTTCCCTTCAAAAGATGAAATGAATGAAAATGATTGAAAATTGCTGAAACGTGTATTAAGTATACTTGATTTTTCCCAGTGATTATTCTAGTTATAATTTCTTGTAAATAAACTCAGTAAAAAATAAATTCAATAAAATAGCAACAGAACTACTTTTTTGTTTATGTTTTTATTACACTCGATTATTATCATGCACTTTGTAAGCGGGAAGAAGATGTTTTATCATCACTATTTGTAAAAAAGACACTTTTCTTTCATTTGTTAAAAGCAAACACGATCTTCGAAAAAATTCAAACAATAAGTCGTTGGTTTAAAAGGTCAGAATTAAAAATAAATAAATATTCGATAAGGATATAAATGTTATGAAAAATATAAGGCGTACTAATTAGTTTTTCATTTAAATCTTATATTTCCGCTTCAGAACTCATTATCAGAATATTAAATATTGCTTATATTCAAGTTTATTTAATATTTTCAAAAGTTTTATTGGTATGTTGTCATATTATTCTAGTCTTTCGGGGTACTTGTTTTCAATATTTATTGTGTTAAAGGTCAGTCTGACTAAAGTTCAGATCTACTTAAGTATTTTCTTGCATGTAGATCTGATTGCCACCGTATTTGTTTCGCCTTCTTTGTGATTCGGTTTTCCCGAGAAAGCTATTTTTAGCCATGCCATCAAACCGTTTAAATAACGCTAATTCCTCACTTTTCGGGGGATTTATCGTATATTTACTCAAAACAAACAAATATGCTCTCTATTTATTAGTGTTAAATGGACGATATTAATTTATTTATTTTTGTGACTTTATTAAATTAAGATAAAGACTTTATTTCATCGAGATTATTTCAAAAAGTATTCTCCCAATTATGACCGTGTCTATGGAAACGAAATTGTGAAAGGATTCAGGCCATTAGACTCTTCCTCCATGACATATTTGTTGCATTTAGTTTTGTACTTTATGTACCAGTTTTGCATTTGTCCGCACCTACATTTTCTCGTTTACTCCACATATTTATGCAAATATGTTACAGAGAAAAAGATAAACGAGCCGTAGTGTCTAAGTGTGGGCCTCTCTTTACAGAGTTTCCAACGCCACGGCCATTAGCTTTACATTGTCGTAAAGAGAATACCTAATATATCTGTCCAACGAGTCGAGTCCTCTTTTAATAAAATTGGTCTATTGAGTTACAGTGAGCTCTGGAAAAACGCGAAAGAGCGGGCAATGGCAAAATACACATTGAACTCTCCTGACCTTATTTCTTCGGTCATCCTAAAGTGCCTTTACAAATTTGCAGAACGAAGACACCCCCGTTTACCAACGTTCCCTTGTTTATCAAAGTCGGCGCACTGTGTGCCGAACAACATAAGTTGCGTTCTACATGTACACGAAGGTAAATGCTAATATGTATGGAGAAAAATACAAATGTCCTCAGCCTATCACTGAAGCCATCTTTTATTGCTGTAAAGTGCGTGCATGCGTGTGTATGTGTGTGTACGTGCGTGTGCGTGTGATAGGAGATGGTCAGCTGTCTAATAAGAGGCTTATGATGTAATGTGCACTAAAAGGGGAGAGAAGTCTGTCTTATGCAAAACCTGCATGGGCCTTACTTGCCCCTTGCTTTTACGGCCATCAAAAATTTCCTTATTTTGCTATAAAGGAAAGAGTCCATTCTTCCTAAAAAAGCACATATAGTCTGATGTCCATCAAGAGCGTTCCTCACTTGAACTTTTTTCTTATTTATGCACGGCTTTCTTAATTGTATTGTTCTAAAGGTAAATATTGATAGTGTAAGTTGAAAGAAAAAAGGTTTTTCAAAACTTCATGAATGACTTTTATTTTATGATAACAGAAACATTGTGTTCTAAAGTTTTCGAAAAAAAACATAAGTTCATCATTTTGATATTTTGAAGTAAAGGAACATATTTTGTGTTATATAGGAATGAATCGTTTGAAGATGTTTCGTTGATCTTCCCTTACTTGACTTTGTACTCGTACAATCGTTGTGATGATTTACAGCAATAGTAGGACAATAGTAGGTCTAAAACAAAACAATACAACACAATGGATGCTTAACTGATATCATTGGGGAAAGAGTTTTGAAATTTTCATTACAGAAAAAGTTTAATGCTGCCATGCATTGATGCAAGACGCAAACTATTAAAGAAATGGTACATAGATTAAGTACATAGTCTAACTTGTTACAACAAGAATTTGTTACAGAGTTACCAACGTCCCCCGCCTAAGAGAAGTTTTACATGAAGCATAAAATTGTGCTATTTCAAAAGATTGAAGTATGGTGCAATATTTTTTATCAATGCTAGATCTGCACATGCAAGTAACAATAAATTTATTCAAGAAATATTATAAAATAATCCTGTGTATATGTCCATAGAAATACATTTGTATGCTAATCTTGTTATCACTTTTTCAAAGCCGAAACATGTGACAAATACAAAATCAATTCAGGATATGGATATGGTTTTTTACAGGGTATATTTCATTCCGGTCTTAAATCATCAACCAATGTCATTTTCAAACCCTGTAACAGACTATTTTAGGCCTTGACCTCCAAGTGTGACCTTGGCCTTTGAGGTATGGGTCTAGGTGTTGTGCATACCATGTCGTTTTATTATTGTTAACCTTTGTGCCAAGTTATTTTGAAATCCCTTGATTGATGAAAAAGGTTTATACCGCACACAAAATATACCCTAACACAGACAATGTTCATCTTTAGCACTCAAGTTTGACCTTGACAATGGAGGTAGGAGTCTGGTTGTTGCATACGACAGACACATGGTCCCAGTATTGTGAACATTTGTGACATGTCATTTCAAAATTCCTTAAACAATAAAAAAGATATGGACTGCACAGAAGATATAAACTATAAAAGACCATATTAACCTTTGACCTCTAAGTGTGGCTTTGTCCTGAGAGATATTGTCAGGATGTTGTACATTGCACCTCATCTTATTATTGTCAACATTTGTGCCAAGTAATTTCAGAATTTCTTGACAGATGAAATTGTTATGGACCGGACACCACGAATACCCTCAAACAGATGATGTTGCCCTTTTATCACCAAATGTGACATTAATTTTGAAGTAAAAAAGTACATGTACCTGAACACTGAAATACAAATTGAATATTTTTTTTAAATAAGACATTGAAAGTAGGCGTTTGGGTGTTCTTACTGTGAACATTTTTACATTTGAATATTTTCAAAATCACTTTGATGGATGAGAAAGTTATCCACTGGAAACAAAATATACCCTATAAAAGACTATGATAATCTTAGACCTCTAAATTTGACCTTGACATTGGAGGTAGGTGACTGGTTGTTACGCATGGCAATCGTCATATTATTGTGAACATTTGCGGCAAGTATTTTCAAAATCCCTTGATCTATATAGAGGGTATGGACTGGACACAAAATATACCCTGTAACAGACTATGTTAATCTTTGACTTCCAGCTGTGACCATTACCTTTGAAGTAGGCGGCTTGTTGTTGCGAATGACTCTTCAACTTATTATTGTTGACATTTGTGCCAACTATTTTCAAAATCCCTTGATCTATGAAGAAGTTATGGACCGGGCACACAATATACCATGTTACAGACTATGTTAATCTTTGACCATAATCTTGGAGGAAGGCAACTGGTTGTTATGCATGACACATCGTCTTATTATTGTTAACATTTGTGCAAAGTATTTTTAAATCCCTCTATGGATAAGAAAGTTATGGACCGGAGACAAAAATTACCCTCAAAAAGACAATGTTGACTGTGACCTTGACCTTGGATGTAGGATTGCGGTTGTTGCGCATGTCACATCGTCTAATTTTTTACAAACATTTGTGCCAAGTTAACTTCCTCTGTTAATGATATAATTATTGGACGAATACGAAAATGCGACGGACCGACATACGAACGGACGAACGGACGGACGAACGGTACCTATTTCTATATCCCCCTTTTTTCTTCGAAAAGGCGTAGAATCATAAAATGTTAACAACCAAAGAAAAAGAGACATAGAATCCCTTAAGAAAGTCCAAAACAGCAAAATTGAAATGTTGCAGGGTCGGTTTGATACCAATAATGCTATAGATCGGGCAATGTGGGAGAGAAAATTCAAGACTTAAATATGTCATTTTAACAAACATGACACTTCAGGAGCTGTAATTAATTAAACTAGTAGGGCGTTTTTATTTCATTTACTTTTATTCATTTATTTTTTTTAGTAATTGATATAGTAGTATTTTTTATCCAACGACATGTCCCTATAAACTGATTGTTTTGGTTAAATCTGAACTTTTACAGTTTCATTTCTATATATTCTGTCGCCTGTTATGTTTGAAAAAGGAATGATTTACCGTACTACGAATGTAATTAAAGCCAAATTGAGAATCTTTAGAATTTAAGGATTTTTATTGTTAAAGCTTACATAATTTATTACATAGTTACCGTTTAAATGGTTAAAAGTTTCCTAAAAAAATATTAAAGTGTTTTAATAAATGCTGACCCCATTAACCGACTGTTTAAATATTTGTCATTTTTTCTGTGAAATTAATGTAATAATATTTATAATATAATATGATTCTCTGTTTATATTTGTCTTTTTTATCATTTTTTTGTAAGTTTTAGTAAAAAAAAAGAACATATGTGTTACAAATCAAATATGAATTATCAATTGTTTATTTTTGATATTCTAAATGTTAAAACATCATTTCATACCAAGAGCCGTAAATTTGTAAAAAAATCATTATATAATTATTACTTCTTAAAAGGAAAATCAACAAAACACATAAAAACGTTAAGTGATCACTATTTTTTATGTATAAAATGACACATTTTTCTGTTCATTAAAATAATCCCTTCAATTTTCATCACGAGTACACATTTCAGAGGTTTGACGTTGCCGCTATTTTATATCTTACTTAAAGAAATTTGACAATTTTACTCATGTAGTCTTTCGTAGGGGGCGTTGAGGGTAACTTGCACTTTACAGTTCCGTCCATGGACAGGCCCAAGGCAACATTTTCAATTTTGCC